ACTGTTGATGGCAGTTGGTGATTAATTTTCTCTCTAATAGTAATAATTTTATTGTGGAAGAAGCTTATAAAGTCGTTGCTACTTAAGTTTATGGGGATATGTGGCTCAATAGAGCTGTGGCTCTCTGTCAGCCTGGCTACAGTGCTGAAGAGGAACCTAGGGTTATTCTTATTTTCTGCTATTAGTGCTGAGTAATAGGCTCCTCTGGCATTACGGAGGGCCTTTCTATAAGTTTTAAGATTATCTTGCCAAATTGAGCGATATTCTGATAATTTGGAAGAGCGCCATTTCCTTTCAGATTTCCTAGCTATTTGCTTCAACTGGCGGGTTTGGTGGTTATACCACGGTGCTAATCTCCTATGTTTTAATAATTTCCTTTTTATAGGAGCGATAGAGTCTAATGTTGATCGTAGTGAGCCTGCAGCACTATCGACAAGATTATCAATTTCAGAGGGACTAAAGTTGTTATAGGGCTCTGTTAAATTCAGACATGGCATTGAAAGAGTTCCCAGACTTCCGTTTGACTGCAGGCAACAGTCTGCACAGGGAGGAGAATCAGTGTAGGAAAATCATATCCTCTTTCAGTTTGGCTGTCTGAGCCTGAATTGGAGACATCGGATGCATGTTAATCAACCAGTCATTCTGTCCTCTCAGATGAAAGTACAGCTAGGAGGATATGTGTGCCTGTGCTGTGTCTGGAAATTAAGGTTTTGGCTCACCTGCCAAAAAATGCACTAAATACAAGAACTGCCAGGGTAATAAGTGATGTAGTAAACCGACTGTGATGACTCCTCCCCCCTATGGTTGTTCTTTTGTCTTTTTCCCTTGTTCTTCACAGGAGACAGAGTGGCAGGGGTGTGGCCATGAGATGGGCTACACCTGGTTTAATCCTGATTACTAGGCTTTATAAGAGATTGATCAGTTTGTTGTCTCTCTCTCTCCTTCCAGCCAGCAGGTCCTTGGTTTGATGCTGGTTTTGATAAATGCATTACCTTTTTCCACACACAACACTTCACCCATGTCCACACACACACACTCACTACACTACTGACAAATACTGACGTACATATATATTTTGTACTTTGTTTAGTGTGAATATCGGTTAATTAAATTTATTTTGGCTTGAAACTGTTAAATTGTCTGTGTGGTCTCCCTTCTTTGTCATCAGCTAAGAGTGGGTTCATGACACCGACTGTATGAACATGCCCAAGTCAACAATGGATCAACAAAACCTCTGCTTGTAACTGACAATCAGTGTTGGTTTATTTTAACCGTGAACATGATTGTTCATAACAAAGTAGTTATTTAAACCTAAACCAGGATGTTTCCTTAACCTAAAAGCAGCTATAATGTATATTGTTTATTTCATATAAATGCAAATATGTTTGCATTGTTGTGACGAACCTACAGAGAGATGAGAGCTCCAGTCAGCTTTACGGAGTACTGTGGTGAGTTAAGTCTGACCCTTGTTTCTGTTGCCCCCAAATGGCCAAAAAGATCTGTTATTGCAGGTTTAAGTAAGTACTAATTCAAATGTAAACATTTTTATCCCATATTTGATCCAATTTCAATGCTTCAAATCTAATTGGCGATTGTAACATGTATGTAGATCAATGAGAAAACTCAAAGGCCCTAGAATTTTGAAATCTCATTGACTCTTTTGATTTTATTCAACATGGTAAAAGACCAACACACCGACACACATTCTTGACTTGTTCTGTTTGAAGTGCCTACAAAGCAAAGAGTAAATCATTTAATTAAGAAACACAATATAGATGCTTCTGCAGTTGACATTATGAGTCAAACTACCATGTCTCTCCCCTCCACCAGCTCCATACACGATGTAGAAGTTCACTTAATTATCAATTTCTTTGCATGCTTGACACTGCTGCGCCCAAAAAAAAAAAAAAAAGCTGGTAAGACCCATGTCTTGGTGAACCAGTGCTAGCTGATCACAAATGGGGAAAACATTTATTTACTGTCCACCATGACATATTCAAGTAAGTTATTACTAAATACAATGAAGCAGTACGAGATAAGAACCAACATTAGCCAATTCAAAGAATCCTAATTCAAACAGTCCCAGAATAAATGGTAAATGGACTGCATGTGTAGTTTTCTGACCACTCGAAGCGTTTATGCTACAGGTCAACAATCACACATTCACATTCATACTTTGATTGCAGTCTGCCCAAGAACACTTGGTGACATTGGACTGGGGGAACTGGGGATCTCTCTCTCTCTCATTTAGTAATTACTGCCCCATTTCAGTTCTACCTTTCTTGAGTAAGGTTTCAGAGAAAGACGAGGTTAAACAAACTAACAAACACTTTTCTGAGAATGGTATTTTAGAAAATTCTGAGTGAATCATAGTTCCACAGACAGTTCTTGTCAAAGTTCTAAATATACTCAGATTAAATGATGAAAATGGAAATACACAGATGAGCCATAACACCACCTGGACTTCCCTGTGGTCATAATGGTTTGCAGCCCCATACACAACAAACTGTGATGCACTGTGTCTTCTGACACCTTTCCATCAGAAACAACATGAACTTCTTTAGCAATTTGAGCTACAGTAGCTCGTCTGTTGGACCACTGCAGACCAAGAACCATACTTGTCAAAGTTGCTCAAATCCTTATTTGAGAGCTTGCCTCTTTTTCGCTGACAGGTGCCATGATAACCAGATAATCAGTGTTATTCACTTCACTTGTTAGTGGTCATAATGTTATGGCTGATCGGTATATATCTGTTATAATTCTTCTTGACCTTAGCGCTGTCTTCGACACTACTGACCAAAATCTTTTACTTACGCCTTGAGGAATGGGTTACTCTCTAGTACAGTTCTTAACTGGTTTCATATATATATGTATATATATATATATATATATGAGTGGAATCAAATTCCATGTCATAGTGTGGACGAAGGCAGTGTACTAGGAGCTCTACATGCTGTCACTGGAGTCCATAATCCATTAGCATGGCATAAACTTACACAGGTATGCTGACAACACACAACTATGTGTCTGTGAGGCCAGGTGACCCAAATACTCTGTCAAATCTAAATGACTGTGTCACCCATTATAGAGTGGATGAGCAAGAACTTCCTAAAGCTAAATGAAAATATGACTGAGATGCTCCTAGTTGGCCCCCCCAAAATTGAGAAATTGTTGCTGAAACTGTGTTGATGCTATTTTATCAATCATTTATACCATTCCTCCTTGTGCATGTGTATGGTTTTAAACCTTTTTTTTTGCTGCTGAATTGTAATGCACAGCTGCAATATGTGCATGAAAAGTGCTATCAATATAAATCATTCATCAAATCATCCAGAGCCAAACCAACAATGAATGTATCTAATAATGGACTGTATGTGTACCAAAGCCTAATATATTCTTCCTCTGTCATAGAGCTCCACTGTTGTCCAAAACTATTAAAGACATCAGTGATCCACACTGTTATAACTGACTGACATGTTCCTTCACTACCATTATTATCAATATATTTATTTATTATAAAAAAAACAACAAGTTAATTAAATCAATAATTCCTCATCGGTCAGGCTGTCTATTTACAATGTAGCTCAGATTATCTGACCAGTAACTGTTGCCAGTGAATGCAGCACAGTCAATTCTCTGCATGTTTGTTTTTCTTCCCCTGCCTGACTCAAGCTGACCCTGACACAGTAAATATACAATAACTTAGGAGGAAGGGGCTCAATGGAGTCATTGACATTTACTGCCAAATACAAATGATTTCCCACCATGCCAATTATAGTGCTGAGAGAGTCTCCTGAAAATCCCTCTGGGCCGCTGTTGCCCTCATCTATGAAGACAAATCTCCTCTACATAGGCTGGAAATGCACAGCTAAGCTATTTCATTTTCTCCATTGGAGATTCAACTTCTTGTCTGGGGTCCAGGGCTCATTAAAGTGTTACAAATCCTTTAAAAAAAACAGCTGCAGGATAAATAATTTAGAGAAACTGTAAAGTGAATCAAAACCCAAAGATCAGTCAAGATGGCATTCTCTTCCCCTGCAGTTATTTGGTATTATCGAAGTCCCGCCCATGCACCTAGCCAACTCAATGGCAAGCAGGCCGTTATTTTTGTAGACTGACATCGGCATATTGGTAAATATGACAGCATTGACTGATATTAGTGCCAGAATTTTACGCAGACTAAATATCCTTTAGGATTAGACACACACCAGACGCATACACGCAGTGCTCTCGCTGTCTCTCTTTCACTGTTACCTGTAACATCTCTTTGTCCTCTCAGCATTCCCCTGCAGCTGTCCCTCAGGCAGACTACCATCAGCTTCACCTCAGCTGTCATTATTTTAAGTCCTCTAAATAAAACACACATTTCAAATGAAATTTGCTTAGTTCTCACTGAGAAGCTATGTATCCTTGTTTCAGTGGTTGTTGAAGTGACCCAAAAGTTTTTCAAAAACTTTTTAAAACTGATTTCAAAACTTATTTAATTAAAATTAAAAAAATGTAGTGACTAGAAGACTGCTGCCTTGAAATTATGAGTTTTCTCAAATGTCTTTTTTTACAGTGTAGCACCAAGTTCTTGAGCTAAGCCTCACAGTTGCCGTCTTTACCTACAGTTTAATACTGCTGCATCCATTTAGAACTAAAAACATGTACATCAAGCTATAGTGTCCATATTGTAAATGTTAATCCGCACCTTCTAGCCAATCAGAATCCAGAATTCTCAGTGGCCTTATAGTATTACATTATACTCTGTGTGCAAATATGACACTATGTTTGGAAGGTAACATCATAGGAAAAAAGCATCCAAAGCAAAGAGTTAATATGCGAGCATGGATGTGCTAAGTTTATTTCACTGCCTGAGGCTGGCACTAAACAAAAGGTCAGGGATCAGTGATTAGGAATCGTCCACACTAAAGTACTATGTTGACACACATGTATAATGTATAATAAATAAATGGAGAAAGGTGTGTTATGCATGAAACAAACAGACATCTTCTTACCCTGTAATAATCTGTGCTGTAAATGTCTCTGGACATGCCAAAGTCTCCTATTTTCACCAGCAGGCCATTCCCCACTAGGCAGTTCCTGGTTGCCAGATCACGGTGCACAAAGTGTTGAGACGCCAAGTAGATCATCCCAGCTGCAATCTGACTGGCTATGTGAAGCATCTGGGACAGTCCCAGCTCCCCATTGGTCTGTAGAGGCTGTCCATCCACCAGGATCATGGCATCTGGCCCGTGGGCTCTGAGGAGGAAGTTAGAGAGCCAGTTAGAAGCTCATGAAATATCTCAGATCAAAGAGAATGTACTGACATCAATCAGTGTAATGTAGCTTGAGCCCCTACTCTGCCTCCAATTGGCTAGTGTTTGTTGGTTTACTCGGTTAGGTTTAGGACTGAAACTGATACAGTACATGAGTACCCTTACTTCTTATGGCATACCACAACCTCTGATAACAACATGGTCAGACCTTGGTATTTTGTGCAAGGGGTATACAATAAAAAAATGAAGTAACAGTTGAAGCTGAATTAAGGTACTGGCACCGATTCAGGCACTGTTTAGGCATGAGGAGTGAGATGGTAAGGGTGGACCGTAAACAGCTAGCTTAATGCCAGCCTAATGCTCAATGCCAATTTTTGGTCCAATTCAGGCACTGATCACAATAAGCAATTAGTAGCCTTTGTTTTTACCGACTTACACATTTAACAGCTATACTTGTTTCATCCATCCAAAAACTTATTGACAAGACAGGAATGCACAGGATTTCTTCTTCTGCAATCTCACAACCCTTTTCATAATCCATTTGTTAATATTTGATTTGTCCTCAAAGCAGTACTTTTCAACAGCGGACTGATCAGTTCTTGAATGTCAGGGTCCTTGAACAAAACACCATGGAGTGTTGTACTGACCATGTACAGGTGTACATGGTCAGTACAATGCCAACATAAGTGTGTTAGAAGTTAAAGTTGAAGCCTTTTGTTTACCCCGATTGATTACTAATCTCTAGTCATGTTCAAGGTTTGCAAAAGGCGTTTCTGAACATGACAAACGCAGATGCTTTCAAACAGCATACAAAGGGTCATTGAATGGTTTGCTGTGTGTGTGTGTGTGTGTGTGTGTGTGTGTGTGTGTGTGTGTGTGTGTGTGTGTGTGTGTGTGTGGTGTGTGGTGTGTGTGGGCAATGTTGTACATCAGCAGTGTGTCCTTGTCGATAAGCCAGCTGGACTACATTACTGGTATTCAGGATGTTGATGTTAGTTGATTTAAATCCCCCATGACAAACTGTCTTACTGGTTCAGTGGATTTGCATTCATTCACAAAATGTCCACTATTTCAGTGTTTATTTAAAGTGGGAGCTGTGAAATGGGAGAAACAAAATGGGAATATCCCTGTACTATGTGATGATTAGTCAAAAGGTTACTGACTTAAAGAACAGTGTTCACATTATGTTCAAATAGTGTGTGCTGTGAGAGAGAGAGAGAGAGAGAGAGAGAGAAAACTTATGTTAAGAGGGTCTGCCTGCTCTATTTGAAAGTGTCCTGAGATAACTCTGTTTGATTGGCACAAATAATTGATTGATTGAATTGAAAAAGGAGAAAGAAAGAGAAAGAAGGAAAAAAGATATAGTTGGAAGAAGGAGCTCAGAAAACAGAGCTCAGAAACAGAGCATCAAGCTGAAGAGAAACAAACAAGGAGAAAACAAAAAACAAACAAAGAAGAGGACAGGGGAGACTAAAGCAAGTAACAGCAAACTACTGGACACTGAAATCAGTAAGTTTTTGCATTTATTACTATAAAACAAGTCCCAACTGAAACACTCAAGCTAATAGCTAACAAGCTAACACTGGACTGTGGTTACCTATCAACGGCATCAATAACAGCAGTAGTGCTGTTTTAAACACAAAACACAGAACCTCGAAGATCAACAGCTGTATCATGATGTCTAGACACTCTACAAACCATTGAATATCCCCCAGCTATCAAAAGCAAAACTACAAAAGGAAAATATAAACAAACAATACTTCGAGAAAGACCAGACATCCTATTCCTGGACCATCACAAAGATGGAAGGTCCTGCAATTTAATCTTCTGGACTGATGAACCATTCGCCTGGCTGAATGTGTTCAGATCGCATTACCCAGCAATAAAGAGAACAGGTATTTGTAATGGATTTAAAATAAGTGCACTCGAAGAGAATGACTCTGACACCACCAGAATAACAGTAAACCTGTTCAAAAATGGAACTGCCATGATACAAGGCGACCTGAGACAGTTTGAGCTCGACTTTCCTGCTTTGAGACTGAGTGCTGAGAAGGAAAAGGAGATCCTCACAAGCATTGCTCCAGCCCTGGGAGCCAAACCCCCCTGTTCTGTCCCTGCTCCAGACAGACAGCCTGCAGATGCTGACACTGATCTTCCCCTGCTACAGCACTCTGAGGCCCTGGAAATCATGAGAGAACACTTCTCCCAGATGGAAATAGAACTGGTTCAGATCAGAGAGCAGCTGGACCAACAGCAGCCTATTTCTCCTACTGTCAGTGACTTCCAGGCCAAGAAAGAACAGAACAATGTCAACTCACAGCTGAGAGAGTTTTAACAAGAACTAGCTCGTCAGAGAAGACAGTTGGATCATCTCAGTGAGGAGGTGAAGGAACTTAGGAAGGACAGAGACAACTGCAGAACTGAGTTGGCTACTCTGAGAAAAGAGCTACATGAGAGGGACAGAACAGGGCTCAGTCTACAAGCCAGACTGAACTCCACACAACCCCCTGTGCTCACCTTTCAGACCTAGACCACATCCAGCCAAACTCCCACTACACCTGCTGAAGTACAACAGGGCCCTTTCCTCGAGGACTCACCCCCTCTCACCCAGCCTGGTGCAGACTCTAATCCCCCCCCGTACCAACCAGCTGCCTCCATACACACATCCCAAGCCAAGACGCCAGTCACACCCCTGCACCTGTCCGAAGCCCAACCTCTAGCCAGCCTCCAACTAGGAGCTCCAGACCTGAAACCACCACCACAGCTCCACATCCAGACCCAACAGCTGAGACTGAACAAACACTCATAGGCAGAAGGGCTGACATTATCCTCCTTATGGACTCTAATGGAAAGTTCCTGGATGAAAAGACCTTATTTCCAAGACACAGAACAGAGAAGATCTGGTGCCCCAACACCAGGAGAGCCCTGGAGCTGTTAACAGTGCCTGAGCTAGGCTCACCTAGCCACATCATCATCCATACAGGCACCAACGACTTAAGGTGCCAACAGGACAGACTGGCAGACTCTCTGAGGAGAGTCACTGAGCAAGCTTCCACCAATTTCCCTAACAGCAAGATAATCATATCCACACTGCTGCACAGGAGAGACTTCCACCCCCACACCATTCACAGAGTGAATATCAGCCTCTCCAGGGACTGTGCCCTCAAACCCAACGTGTTCTTGGCCCACCACCCGACTCTCCACCTGGACTGCCTGTATGATAACATACACCTACACAGAAATGCAGTCCCCACCCTTGCTAGGACCCTGAAGGATGTTGCCCTTGGAAGGAGCCTTACTACCACTCCAAGGGGTAACCACACAACGCAGACCCCACGCAGCCTGCCAGGACATCCTCGACCTTCAAGACCATCCAGACCTCCACCATGCTTTCACCCCCGGCTGTCAGAGCGGACGACCAGGCCACCAAATCCACCAAATCACCAACATCACAACCCACAGCCCACCCCACAGCCAACACAACACTGGCCTCTGATACCCAGCCAGAGAGCCCCCCAGCCTGGAGGTCCTATACCCCCCCTCCTCCCAACGGCAGAACCAAGACTACAGGAGCAGCAGCCTATTGGGCTGAACTATGCTGCAACGGTGAGAAGAGCCACAGCCCCACCCCCCTCTGGTGAACTCAAATGGTGAATAGAAATATTACACATGCTAAACCTGCTCTGCTCTCGCCTCATGTAGCTACATGGTGGAAGAGCAGAGACACCACAATAATAAATAGTTTAACCTGTTGTATATCATTTAAAATGAATAGTAATACAAGGACAATTCTTAACAGTAGTTCACACACGATACACTCTAAAATGTCACTCAAAGTTTAATATTTTATTAATTTACTTACTATACTCTTTTCTTCTTTTTACACTTTTTTTTCTCTTTTCATTTATTACCATTATTATTTTTTAATATTAGTTTATTATTATTATTTTTCTTTTAAGGTGTTTGAATAATTTTTTAACGGATCACACTTAGAGATGAAATCATTTACAATAACATGTTGGAACATTCAAGGTCTGAGATCTGCTGATGCAGATGGTTTAAAGAGCAGAAATTCAGATTTTAATAGAGTTAAAAGACTCTGGCATATAGTTTTACAGGAGACATGGTGCAGAGAAGATGTTTCCACTGGTCGTCCTCACGACTACACGAGATTATCATACCATCAACAAAACATCCCACAATAACCCAAGGCAGAGATTCAGGAGGCATGATTATATGGTGTAAATCAGAACTGAGCCAGTCCATCACAGTTATTAAAAAAGAAGAATCTTATATATGGTTGAAAATTAACAAAAAGATTATTTGTGCTGAGCAACATGTCTACATGTGTGCCATCTATATACCTCCATCGGATTCCACCTACTACAACCCAGATATTTTCTCTATTCTTGAGGAGGAAATTAACCATTATAAAACCATGGGAAATGTATTACTCTGTGAGGACTTGAACGCTCGAACAGGGGAAAGAGCTGACACTATGAACACCCAGGGAGACAAACACTTACCTGGAAGCACCTGCTTCCCCCTCCCTGAATGTCCTACTAGAAAGAGCTTTGACAAGCTTACTAATACAAGCGGTATGCAGCTTTTACAACTCTGCCGTACACTGGGTCTGTACATAGTCAACGGCAAGCTACAAGGGGACTCTCTGGGTCGCTACACTTACAGCTCAGCTCTTGGCAATAGTACGGTAGATTAATTCATTACAGATCTAGATCCAATGTCTCTCAGAGCTTTCACAGTCAGCCCCCTCACACCCCTCTCAGACCACAGCAAAATCACAATCTATCTGAAAAGTGCCCAGTCTTACTCTGGAGCCCCTAGTGCCTGTGAACTGTTTAACAGCACATACTCATACAGATGGACCCCTGACAGCCTGGGGGCATAACAAAAGGCACTGGAAAATCAAAACATACATGATTTAACTCATTTATTTCTAACTGAAACATTTTCCCATAATAA